ACCCCCCTACTTCTTGTCGCACCTTCACCGTTGCTCATGACACAGAGCCGCATCGAACCGTGCACTCCACCATGAGCACCACGCGCACGTGGACTGTGAAACTCGAGGGTGTGGCCCAACCAGAAGCCTTCCGACAACGGCTGTTGAAGAGCCCTGTCTACCGCCGCGCCGAATCACCGAGCGTCAGCATCGAGAGCACGGCGCTGACCTTCACTTTCTCCTCTTCGACCTTGGACCGCAACGGCGCGAACAAGAAGTGCACCCAAACCTTTTGCGCGTATGGCGCTTACGAACGTCACTCAATCGTGGAACAGGCACCGGCCTCGACTACGAGCGCGACAAACTCCATAGCCGAGGCGCCCGCTCCCGTGCACACGCTTGCCGCGCGGAGCCGGGCGGAAGACGCCATTGCGCTCGCTGCTGGCATGAACGGGCTCGAAATACACCAACGTCGCCGTCTTCTACGGCTTGCGTTACTTGGAGCAGACGCCAGCGCCGCAGATGCAGGTCCTGTCGCGCATCCAGCATGCCAAGGCTGCGGCCCCCGCAGTCTTCCTCGGCCCGGCCGCGGGCTGGGAGGAGGCACTCGCCGACCATGCGGCGCACATTGTCGACACCACTGATCCTTGCAAGTACCGTTGCGGTTGCACCGTCCGCTCGGGTGGAACCCCCATGTGCTGGGGCTGCGGTAAGCGCTGCTGCGCCCAGTGCCATCCTGCTGCTGCGGAAGGGATGGGGCACGCTAAAGAGCGGGGCGGCCCTTGAGCAGCGTACGCGGTCAAGCACCATGGTCTTGACGGTACCTTCTATGTGTATCACCGCCATGCCTGTGTGCGGCAGCCAAAAGACACGTCCGCCCCGCTGAAGCCGCATTTTAGGCCAGCCGGATTCCAGTGGCATTTCAACTTTCCCGAGGACACCCCTTTGTGCGCCCAGAACAGGGAACCCAGCGCGGACCCGCATCTCCTCGACATCCTTGAAGTCCATAAAACGAAGCGGCTGGTGAACGACACACGCGCCGTTCGACCAGCTGGTTGGGAAAATGCCCTCAGTGTCGCCTGCCTGCTGGGGGGCGCCAACGGCGACAGCGTGCGCGCCTCGATCCGCTTCGGGGCTTTCGCGATGAATCCCCAGTGGAAGGCGCACCCCATCGTATCATTTATCAAGGATTGGTTGCCTGCCAACCTGGGCTATGTGGGCCCCGTTTTGAACCCGCCGCCGCTCCTGCCCGCTGAGCCAGCGCCGCCGAGCCCACGAAGCCCCGATGCGTTCGTGGAGAGCACCGTGTGCATCGAAGACATCACTGGCGGGGAGGCGGAAGCGGACGAGAGCGCGAGCCCAGAAGAGGTGGCTGACATAAATGAATTTCTGAAGCGTAACCGCGAAGAGCGTGAAGCGGCAGCGGCGCAGTGGATGGGGAGCTTCGCGAAGCGTCCACGCCGCGACTGAGCACGCCGTCTCAGACGTCGTCTCAGGAACTTCTCCGATTGCGTTTGCAAACACCCCAGCGACGGATGATTTCGAACGCACATGTGTCGCCTGGCTTGTACAACAGCACCCTGCTGCCTACAGGCCCCATGGCCGATCAATCGGACAACTGGAGTTTCTGGAATCGGCTGCTCTCCCATAAGATTGGGCGCTATAGTTTGCTGGGGCGCCCAGGGAACGATTTCCGAGGAGTTCCAGATTTCTGGAATTTCTGGAATGGAATTTCTGGAATGTGTGTGCGTACAGGCATTGAGTCAGGCCATTTGTTTGTAGTCAGCAGCTATCAAGAACTTCGTAGGCATCGCGTCAATTGTTGCTTCGCTTAAATCGAATGACCGTCTGCTCCAACACACACACGTTCCAGAAATTCCATTTTTCTGGAATAAATGGAATAATCTAGGCAGACGTCTTCTCGTGCCCCTCTAAACACATTTCGACTGGTTCCAGAAATTCCATTCTTTCTGGAATGAACTGAATAATCTAGGCAGACGACGTCTCTTGCGCCCCCGAGCACATTCCCAATAGTTCCAGAAGATGGATGTTCTGGACATGTGCGCTCTGCCTCATGCCCGGGCGCTATTATCTGCTTAGGACACCCAGGGAACGATTTCCGAGGAGTTCTTCCAGATGTATGGAATGTCTGGAATGGAATTTCTGCGATGTGTGTGCGTACAGGCATTGAGTCAGGTCATTTGGTTGCAGTCAGCAGCTAACAAGAACTTCGTAGGCATCGCGTCAATTGTTGCTTCGCTTAGATAGAATGACCGTCTGCTCCATCACACACACGTTCCAGAAATTCCATTTTTTCTAGAATAAGTGGAATAATCTAGGCAGACGTCTTCTCGTGCCCCTCTGAACACATTTCGACTGGTTCCAGAAATTCCATTCTTTCTGGAATGAACTGAATAATCTAGGCAGACGACGTCTCTTGCGCCCCCGAGCACATTTCCAATAGTTCCAGAAGATGGATTTTCTGGATATGTGCGCTCTGCCTCATGCCCGGGCGCTATTATCTGCTTAGGACACCCAGGGAACGATTTCCGAGGAGTTCCAGGTTTCTGGAATTTCTGGAATGGAATTTCTGCAATGTGTGTGCGTACAGGCATTGAGTCAGGTCATTTGGTTGTAGTCAGCAGCTAACAAGAACTTCGTAGGCATCACGCCAACTGTTGCTTCGCTTATAGAATGACCGTCTGCTCCAACACACACACGTTCCAGAAATTTCATTTTTCTTGAATAAATGGAAAAATCTAGGCAGACGTCTTCTCGTGCCCCTCTGAACACATTTCGACTGGTTCCAGAAATTCCATGTGTTGCTGGAATAAATTGTATAATCTAGGCAGACGTCAACTCGTGCGCCTCTGAACACATTTCGAATAATGCCAGAAATTCCACTTGTTGCTGGAATAAATTGAATAATCTAGGCAGACGTCATCCCGTGCGCCTCTGAGCACATTTCGAAGAGTTCTAGAAACAGAGGGCCTTCAGAGTGCGCGCAGGAGGCATAAAGAACAAGCGCGGATGGTTTATGGGCGTGGCTTCTCTGAGCGGACCAGGAGAGTTGGAGAGCCGCAGCACGTCGCTGGCTGGCTCTGCCAGCATCTCGGCGAAACGTCTTGGGGGTGTGCCGTAGAGGGGCTGGTGCCTCGCCGATTATGCTGGCGCGTCTACGTGCGCATGAGGAGCTGCACGTTCCGCAGCTGCTCTCGCAACCCGTCGCGGTGTCCTTCCCCCCAAGGCGCGATGGGCCAGGCGGCCCGCTCTCGGGGGAGCATGAAGGCCCCGAGGAGGGCGCGCACGGCCCGGACTGGAGGAGGGCATTGACTGCACGGGTACTCCCGTGTCCATGGCCAGCGCCTACGCATGTACCACGGACTCAGCATGTCATCGTACCATTTACGGAAGGCGCTGTGCTCTCGGAAACGCATGCAAAGAGTTTCCATTACGGCGTCCTGCATTGCCGAAGCGTACGCATGCCAGTATGCATCTTTGCGAGCGGGCGACGTGCCCTCACGTGACAGGAGGTTGAACGCCCTGCCCGCCGAAATGCATTCGGGTTCGTGACTCCGTGCGGCGCTGCAGAGCCTGATATAGAAGTGGGCGACCCGCTTGCGGGCCACGGCCAGCGCTTCCTCGACCGCTTCATCGCGGCAGAGGAAACCCCTCGCGAGGACGATGTCGAGGGGGGAGGAAGCGGCGTCCACGCCCAGGCAGCAGCCTATGCGTGCTACGCGTTCTTCTTCGCCTTCGCTGCAGCTTACTCCGGGGCCTGCGGCAGCGCAGTCTTCCCGCAAGATGTACTGCACGTTGCGCAACTGTTCGATGATGCCGTCTCTGTGGCCTTGGCACAGGAACTGCGTGCCCATGCCCTCCAGGTGATCGCCGAGGCGGCAAGCGGGATCCGATGGGCAGCGGGCGCACGGACACAGCGCATGCGCACCGCCTCGACCCCAACTTTCTGGGTGAAGTCGGCGGTCGTACCAACGACGTCGGCGCCAGAATGTGGCGCAATCGTCGCAGAGGACCTGCTCGTGCGCGTCGTGGCGCATGGCCTCGCAAAAATCCCTTGCGCACCTCATGTAGTCCACGCCTGGATGCGATGGATACGGAGCCTGCGCTTCGCACGCGCACGCCTCCATGTAGGAGAAGGCCAACCGCTTCTGGGTCTGCACCAGCTCCTCTGCGACAGCATCCTGTCAGAGGAGGACGCCGAGGACGGCGCGGCTGAGAGTCGTTGCTGCGGGCGGTGCGGGTGTTATTTTCGCGCGCTTCGCAATGTGCCCGTCCTTGTCGATCAGGGACGGCATGGCGGCAGCGTGTGGCGAACCACTGTGAAACAGTTTCGTTTCGGGGGGTGCTTTTCTGTCTCCAGAGATTCGTCCAAAGCCGCCCTGGGCGACCACAGCGCCACCCAAATTGCAAGGGAGTTTCTTGCGATGCTGAACCGCACCCGCACATGCGCTTTGTTGCGCTGACACTGGTGCAGATTACCCGGAATGTTGGGTTTCGGAGGTGTTAGCTCCAACGCAACACGTTGGAAACAGGAGCGAAAATAAACACCCGCAGACATGGGGGCAGAAGCCGCAGGCCAGCAGCTCGAAAATAAACACCCGCAGACATGGGAGCAGAAGCCGCAGGCCAGCAGCTCAGAAGCAGGAGCGAGCCATGCCTCGAAGGAGAGTGGGCTCCTTTTTTCTTTGCGTTTCGATGGCGCGCCGCGTCGGCTCAGAAGCAGGATTGAGTCTGTCGCGGGCGCCGTGAGAGACGCAGCGTTCAATAAAAGTTTTCATTGCTTTCGGGCGATACTTTGTTTCGTAACCCCCTTCTGCAGCTCGTTTCGCGTCGCCCGCGTGAATTTATTTCGCGGGCGCCTTGGCCTCAGCCTCGCTGACCGCGCGGGCAGCAAGCACACCTGCTTCGCGGCCGACCTGTTCAGCCCGCGCCCGCCTTTCGCAGAAATCGCCGGCTGTGGCGCTGCTGCACAAAAATGGCAGACAGAAGTGGCCGCGCTAATGGCTAATAAAACGTGTCCCGTGCGGTGGCTCGCGATCTTCGTGGAGCTCGAAGGCGCCTGGCTGCTGACCGTGGCCGCATCCGAGCAGCAGGTGAGCACCATGCGGACAGCCCTGGGCAGAGTGCTGACGCCGCTCCCGGCCAAGCAGCGGCGCGCCGTGGAAGAAAGCCTCCGCCCGCTGGATGAGCTCGATCGTGACAGGGTCGCTGCGTGGGACACAGTGGTTGACCTGCGGCCGGAAGTGCGCGCTAGCGCGCGCGGCAAAGCGCATTCGCCCGAAGCCCGTCCGCCTGTCACCCTGAACACCCTGAACGAATTCATGGAACAGTTCATCAACGCGCGTCAAACCCTCGAGCCACGCGGTTCCGCCGCCGCCGAAATGGGCAGCGATGCTGTCTTCACGCGACGCGGCCATTCGCACACCCATCTGGCGTGCTGGACGCTTCGGGCGCAAACACTGGCAATGGTCGTTGTGATCTCGGTGGGAGAACCGCCGGAGCTGACTTACATCCGCTGCCACCGGGAGGGTCGGCGACACCTGCTGCTGACGCGCCGACTGCGACAGGAAAGTTCACCAGCATCGCCCGCCACGCTGGCGCAGGTGGCCGAGCTGGCCCCGCGGATGGCGGTGGAAGGCTCACTGCCCAAGCCCGACGCCAAAAGGAAATGTTATTTTTTGCAGCGGTGTGGTGACGCGCTGCAGGCCGTGAGCCCGCAGGCGGAGACGGTAGTAGCGAAGCTGACCGTCCACGAGCGACACTGCGTGAAGATGATGATGGCGCGCTTGTTGGGCGAGGGCCATGAGCAGCCCGAGGGGTGCTTGAACGAAGCTTGTTCCGGCAAGCCAGCAGTTTGGATCACGCGCGACTTGACGATCCCTGGTGAAGTGCCGATGGTCATGAGTCGTTGCCCCAGCTGCCATATGCCCAAATCGTATGGTCGTACGTGGGACAGCGTGGGCCTTGTTTGGAAGACGAACTGGCAAAGGAAAAGGAAGGCAGATGAGATGCTGGCGACAGATCGCATGCTGCAGCTCGGCCGCGGCTGTTGAATCAGTTGGTCCGGTCTCGCAGGACGTGTCCATGATCGTTCCTGCATCCGCCTCTGAGGCGCGCTCGAAGCAGCGCCATGCACCGCTGCGCCCCCGACCAAAAGCAAGAGCGAAGCCGTCGCGGGGGACGACGGGGCCGGGGCATTTAAGAAAAACACTGTGTGTCCAAGCTCGGCCGTTAGATCTTAGACCGGCCTTGATAGTTTACCTTTTGCACCAGCCACGGCGCCGACCAGCGCGAACGAGCCACCCCTCGTCAAGGCCATGGCCCGGAGGATCCGCCCAAGGATGGTGCCCCGACGCGTCTCGGTGACCTTTCGCAAAGCTCTGTCGGGCGAGCCGGTGACGCACAAGACGAAAATAAAACCGACGGGCAAAATCGGAGATGTGTCGATGGAGCTTTGCGTAGCAACTGGGCGCGCGTATCCCGACACGGCGCTGCTGTTCCAGGGGCAGCGTTTGCTGAACAGCGTCACCTTGGCTCGCTGTGGAATCCAAGGCGGCGCCGTCGAGCTCGCTGCGGTCGCTGTGCAATCGGAACCTACAGCACAGCTGCAGGACCTCAGTTTCGAATTATATGTCGCTCCCCATGGGTCCATTAACATGAAGGACCGTCCTCCCGAATACTTTGATGCCGCGCGCGACGAATTCCGCAGCTTGTCACCAGTAGAATGGCTGGCTCCCGCGTTCCACGGCCATGAGATCGTCTTCAGGGAGCCACCGAGCAAATTCCACGAGGGAGAAACGAAGCGATCCTTCCTTAACAAGCGCGGCTATTTCACTGTGCACGAAATGGTGCACCACACCATCGCTTTCGAAAGCGTGGCACGCCCCAAATCCAGGTGGTGGGGTGGCAAAGTTGGCGAAGTGGACACGCACCACGTTTTCTTCGAAGGCATCCAACGCGCCGCGGACGGCCACAACTACTTCATTGTTTGGGGAAGCTAGTGCCGCTTAATCGTTGACGGAGCTGGCTGTCGTGCCGATAAAGGCGCAAGCATCGAAGCGCTCGAACGTAGGCGCGACGCACGCTTGGAGGAGATGGCGTTCCAATGTGAGCTTGCGACCTAGTAGAATGGCTTGAGCGAAACCGCAGGTGTCGATCGACGACGCGAATTGAGGGGGGTGTTACCTTCGACGTAACATCGCTCGAGAAGAACACGAACTCGAAGTGCACCTGGCGCTTTGTCAAGAGCGCACGAAGTGCACGGCACTTCGTGCCTCCATTCAACAAGCGGCTCAGAAGCAGGAGTGAGACCGTCGCAGGGGACGACGCAGCCGGGGCATTTAAGAAAAACGCTTTGTGTCCAAGCTTGGCCGTTAGACCCGCCGCCACATCGCGCGCAAATTCCATGGCGTTCATTTTCCAATTCCCCGCGGACGTTACCGTGCTCGTCAACGAGATGGAGGGAACGCTCTGTCAGACGCTGGCCGCGCATGGCGGCACGCCCTCTGCGCGCGCCGTGAAGGCAGGCCTGGCATTGTTACCGCCGGAGCTGACGGAAGTCGCGGCGCGGGTCGCAGCCCAGCATGGGTTCCTTGCATTCACTGCTCAGGTGCCCCTTGGTCCCCAGGCCTTGCGGCGTGGGTGGTGAATAGAGCCCACTCGAAAGGGGTGATGCTGCCCCACGGGGAGGACTTGATCGATTGGCTTGACGTCATTCGGGTGGACCGAGCTGGCTGTCGTGCCGATGAGGGCGCAAGCATCGAAGCGCTCGAACGTAGGCGCGACGCACGCTTGGAGGAGATGGCGTTCCAATGTGAGCTTGCGATCTAGTAGAATGGCTTGAGCGAAACCGCAGGTGTCGATCGACGACGCGAATTCAGGGGGGTGTTACCTTCGACGTAACATCGCTCGAGAAGAACACGAATTCGAAGTGCACATGACGCTTTGTCAAGAGCGCACGAAGTGCACGGCACTTCGTGCCTTCCACAGAATGATCGATCGATTCCCAGAACTGGTGACAAACTGTCACCAGTGCCCAGTCGCAGTCGATCGACACCAGCCCTCCCAGATGTTTTTCGGGCTGCTTGGCCGCGGCACGGCGGCTCTGAAGCGGGAGTGAAGCCGTCGCGGGGCACGTTGCAGAAGAGGCGTCAAGGAAAAGTATGTTGCGCCCAACCTTTGCCATTGCACAGGCCACTGCAGCGGTCGTTGTAGCAACCACTCCCTTGCTCCGGCCACTGTGCCAAACATGCGTGGCCTCGCGAGCAAGGCCTCCTTAGATCTTGCCCAGGTGCGCTTCCATATCAAATCTGGTAAAACGCGCAAGGCCTCACCTTGGAGCCGGAAGAGATAGCCGCTCTGGAGGAGAAGCGCGACCGCATGGATGCCGAGATGCGCGCCGAGCGGCAGAAAAAGTTTATCGGTCGCATCACGGACCACACGACTTCGGAGGCGGACCGCGTGATTCGCGAGGTGCCCTACGCCGTGCAGCAATGCATAGCGGAGGAATTTGACAAGCGCCTCGGGCGAGCACCTTCTGGTCCGATGGAGGAGGCGCTTGCTGAGAGAGCGCGAGCCAACAAACGAATCCGCGAGTTGCGGAAGCAGGTGGGAAGAGACGCCGCTCGTATCGCGGCTTGCCTTCCCATCGATCCTGCGCAAGAGCAGCGGGAGAAGCGTCCCGTTCCCCGCGCGCTGACCACGATGGGAAGGGCGCGCCGTGTCCGAGATGATTTGGACATATGGGTTCTCCCGCACTTCGCGCAGCAGGTGCTGGGCTTCGACCCCGCAGCCCTGATGACCCAGCTCCAGTCGTATCCGAGAATCAGAGCTGGACAAAACATTGCGCCGGGCGCTGCACAGTGGGTCGAAGGTGAAAATAAAGCGCTCAATTACCGCGGAGGCCCGGTGCGGCGCAATAAGATGTGGTTCCAGCGCGGCGACCCGAAGAGCATCGGCACGATAAGGTATCTGCACACTGGCTGGCAGAAGAACATCCTGTGCGCCACTGCGGACGTGAGGCTGTGCCCCGAGGTGGCTTTGGTCGCCGATCGCTATGATGCTTGGGCAGAGCGCGAGGGCTACCCCAGCGCAAACCACTACATCGTCACGGAATATGAAGGTGGCGATCATTGCATCGGCTACCACTTCGACAAGGCGCCGTCGATTCGCCCAGAATCCCTCATTACCGCGGTGAAAACCGGCGCGCACGGCCGGCCCTTCCAGCTTCGAGACCGCGTGATCGTCAGGGGCGAGGGTGGCGAGGACGTCCATGATATGGAAGAGCGGCACAAGCGCGAGCTGCGCGAACACACGGAAGCCTGCACGGCTTCCGACGAGTTCAAGCAAGCACAGAAAACAAAACTTTTGGCTCTGCAGCGGGAACAAGAGAGAGCGCAGGGCAGCAAGGCGCCGTTCTTCGATGAGGTGCTGTCCCCTGGAACTGCCCTTGTTATGACTCTGGAAGCAAATCTGCGCACACAGCATGGCGTGCCGCAGATTGGCGACGCTGGCCACAGCGGTAGCATCGTGTTCCGGACGATTGAGATCGTGCCGCCTGGCAGAAGGCAGGTCGAACGCATGGGAGAGTCCGGGCGATAATGCGGCATGCAGGAAACCGCGCGAAAACGCCCCATCTCGAAGGAGGCGGGGACGTAAAAGCGCTATCTCCGTGAGCTGGTCTAGGCTCCGCGGTTCTCGACCTGGGCCTCGCAGTATCTGCGCTAGGCTCCGCAGTTTCTTCGCTGGGTTCCGCGGCTCCAGCGCTGGGCCTCGGGGCTGGCGGTGTTTTCCTGAGAAGAAAAATTGCTTTTTGAAAGCCTTCCAAAACCCTTCAAAAGTGAGCTTAAACAACCCATTTTGAGCGTTTACGGGTCCAGATGGTTCCAGGAGCACTTTCGGGGCTTGGAGCGCTGGTGGACATGGCTGGGCTGCGCGCTTGCTGGATCGGGCTTCGGGCTTCAGAAACCAGGCTTCGGACTTTGTGAACCAGGCTTCGAGGTTTGAGAACCTTCCGAGGAAGCCCCCTTCATCTATGCGCGCGGCGCCGCCTAAAAATATAAAACGCGGACTTATGTTTGGGGGGCGGGGGGTCCCCGTTGATTTGGGCTTCGTATTCTGGGTCGCTCGACCAATAATTGTTCCGCCAGTGTACCCGACATGTCAAGAGCCAGTGCTTTGCAGTTTTTCCGCGCGCGGGGCCGCCGGAAATTGATAAAATCGCGCGTGTTTCAGTATTTTTTTAGCAGGGTCGCCATTGATTTTGGAGCTATCGGTCTGGGGCTGTCCAAACAAAGCGGGCTGCCACGTGTAATTTGCGGTTCCTGCCCCTGGTCACATACTGTATATGCGTCTCGTGCGTTCACGCGTGTTTGTATGCATTGTGCAGTTGCGGCTCAACATTTGAGTGTTAGTTAAGTCGGCTGACGCAGCAGTGGCGGAGCATGGCGCAGTCAGCGCTTGGGCCCGAAGGCACCTCCAAGGTTGGAGGTAGCACCCCGCCTAAGCCAGAAGGTACCTCCAAGGTTGGCGGCCAGAAGGCACCGCGCTTGGGCCAGAAGGCACCTCCAAGGTTGGAGGTAGCACCCCGCCTAGGCCAGAAGGTACCTCCAAGGTTGGCGGCCAGAAGGCACCGCGCTTGGGCCAGAAGGTACATCCAAGGTTGGATGCAGCACCCCGCCTAGAGCAGCCCGAGGGGTGCTTGAACGAAGCTTGCGCCGACAAGCAAACCGTTTGGGTCACGCGCGAATTGGCGATCTTTCCTGGTGAAGCGCCGGTAACTATGAGCAGGTGCTCCCACTGCGGTTGTCCCAAATCGTATAACCGCACGTGGGACATAACGTTGCTTGATGGTATGATGCAGAATCGCGAGCAGATGATTGCAGCATCTGCCATGCTGCAGCTCTGTCCAAGCCTGGCGCATACCCGGCAGGGCACGGGGCTTGCTGCTTTGACGGGAAGGCGGGAGACAGATAAGCGATGAGTTGCTTGCTGTGACTCGGCCACGGCTGTCGAATGAGCTGCTTCTCACAAGACCACGATCGTTCCTGGATGCGCTTCTGAGGCGCCCTTGAAGCAGCAGATCCCAAGTCAAACCCAGCACGTTGCCTCGTGGAAAGCGGCTTGTTTTCCGCTTCGACGCGCAGCGGCTCCAAACTGCGAACGAAGCCGCCGCGCGACTCAGCGAAGAAAGGCGCCATTGGAAAAGCATTTCGCTTGGAACTTTTCTTTGGCGCTCCCTTGGGCGACGTCGCACTCCGATCTAATGTCGATTCGCTGCGGCCGTCCTTGCAAAAATGGCAAGCCGTGTCCCTGGGGCGCATGCAGCTGCCACTTGCATGGCCCTGTGAGCGCCTAGACATGGAGCGGGAGGACCGACTCTCCCGCCTCCTTCAGAAGGGCGCTTGCGGGAAGCACGCCAAGAAGGGGTTCTGTGACCGCATCCGCTGCGATTGCCCGTTCCATGCGGAGCTTGAGCTGCGCTGCGCGTCCTGCCTGGATGCGGGTTCAACCCGCAGCTGCTCCCTTCGAAAAGCAAACTGTTCCGATGATTGCTCGGATCATGCGGCTTTCCCAAACTTCGGTAAGGTCTTGAAGGGCTACGCCGAGGAGTGCCGTAGCAAGTGTGCGCCTTTCTCCCCGAACGCTTTTCGAGAAGCATGTTGCCCGAACGCGACAGAACTGCCGCCTGGCAATCTCCACGCGATCGTCGGCGCACTGTTGTGTCTGCCAGCCGGCGAGCCAAACCTCAACCTTGAGGTTCAACCGACTTCAGAACCAGTTTCAACCCCTGTTTCAACCCTGGCCTCAACCCTGGCAGCAACCCCGGCCTCAACCCCGGCCTTAACCCCGGCCTCAAACCCCGGCCTCAACCCCTGCCTCAACCCCGGCCTCAACCCCGGCTCCAGACACTGCTTCAAACCGTCCGTCCAAGACGCCAGACGCCCAGGCCGCCAAACGTGCCCTGAAGAGGTACAAGCCAGAAGGCGCCGTCTTCGTGAAGACGGCGGAGGGCCCCGACAAGGGTAAGACCATCCACTCGCTGGCGGAAGCTGTGGCGCATGAGCGGCAGCTCACGATGCAGCGCCGCCAGTCCTGGCCCAACTTGATCCGACAGAGCGCGCAGCAAGTTAAAGCCCATGTGACAAACGAAAGCGATCGGGTTATCCAGCAGGTCGGCCAACGAGTGGCGGACGAACTGGACCGGCGCTTGCCCGCGCCCACCGACGACATCGAGCGCATGCGCGAGGACAAGCGCCGCCTGGAGACTGCCATCCGCAAGGCTACCGAGAACAAAAGGATAGAGCGCGCCGCCGAAAGAGCCAGGATGGAGGAAACCCGCCAGGCGACCGGCCATGAACGGCGCAAGCGACCACGCCTCTGAAGTTTCGAAGCGTGCCTGAAGCAGGCCGCCCGTGGATGAGCGCGGCGCGGCCGAGGTGGCATTGCGCCCGGAGGGCATGTGCTGGACAGCGCGTAAGGTACCTACGGCAACACCGTCGGGGGCGCTGCGAAGGAGCGTCGCAAGCACACGGGCTGGCTGAGCTCATCGTGAGGCTGCAGCGGTTGAAACCTCCAAGCCCAAACAGTAAAAGCCACGACGCCCCAGCGGGGCGATTGCATATTCGCAATCTTCGCTTCTCCACCCGAGCCCCGCGCAATGCCGAAGCATTTCCGCGAGGAGACCGACAGCCTGGCCGAAGGCCTCGACGGTGAGTGGGTCGCCCGCTGCGTGATGCTCAAGCCCGCAGCCGCACGGGGCAAGCGCCTGCCCGAGGTTTTGGTCGAGAAGATCTGCCGTGTGACCCGCAGCGGCATGACCGCTCAACCCGATAAACCCGATCATTTGGGCTCAATCGGCCAGGCGGTAACCCAACCCGCTTGGCGTCGGCCGCAGGCTTCTCGCCAGGCGCAGGCGACAGAACCTGGATCCTCTCTGCTCTGCAGAGTTAGCCTGATTGTTATGTGTTGCATAATGTTTTCAGACTGAATCTTCTTACCCTGCCCATAAAAGGGATATAAGCGACACCCGCTTGCACCCCAGCGCAAGCTCTCGAACCCCTTCCGCTACCACCGGCGCCCTTCAGGGCCATTCCAGTGAGCCCATTGACTGCGCATTAAGCGAAGAAATGCGCAACGCGCGGTTGCTGCAAGTCTTGATTCAAAGGCAGGCCGCTCCGTGGCATGCCTGCCGCCCGATGCCCTTTCTCACGCGGCCCGCCGAAGCATGTCCAGGACGCTCGGCCGCGGCGGCGCGCCGTCGGGCGCGGCGGGAGGGGGGGGGCGCCGCCGCTGCCGGAGGGACCGTGCGCGTCACGGGTTCTTCACGGTGTGCCTCGGACATATCCCACGCCTGCTCGAACAGCGCTCGATCTTCTTCGGTGTACAGCAGCTGCGCGCGAGCTAGCTGCTCCACGTAGATGGGCGCGGGGCCCTGCTCGCGCAGGTTCTGCTTCTTGAGCACCTGCATCAACATGCCGAACGTGGGCGCGAAGCTCCGCCGCGCGCGCTTCCAGCTCGCGTCCTCCCTCTCCTTCTGGTCCAGAAACTTGGCGAGCGGCAGCGGCCGGCCAGCGCCGGAGATGTCCCCGGCGATCGGGGGGTCCCGCGCCCTCTTCGGCGCGCGCACGTTCAGCGTGATCTGCGCGCGATCTTGCTCGAGGAGGCGCCGGACGCGCGCCAGCGTCTCCTCCTGGACCGCCCGCCGCTCGGTCAGCGTAGAGAACGCGCGCGCCAAGTCCGCCAGCGCGACGCTGTCGCGTGAAGCTTCAACTGCTTCTCCGAAAGCTCGACGCGGGTCTTCAGGTGCTCGCGCGGCCAACTCTTCTTGAAAGCCACGGATCCTGCACGCATCATCGATGATGGTCAAACCACCGCATAAATACCTAACGACGAGCTCCGCCATCTGCCGACGTAAACGCGCCGCCTGCGCCCCGGGCAGGAGCAGAATGATCTCGACGACGCTCCGGACATCACAAAGCAAAGTGTTCCTCTGGCGTGCGCCAGCAAACTTATAGAGGATACAATTTCCATCGATCCCTGGATATTGCGCCACCAGACGCCCACATTGCACTGCCGCGCACCGACCCCCTTGACCGGTTATTGCCGAGACCACATCGATGACTGACACGCGAGCGGTGCCATCCTCCTCAGTTTTCCGGATTTGTTTCACTTCCCTCCCCAAGAGAGCCCCGAGTTGCTGCTGGATTCCCGCCATCTTGAGCAACAGCTGCGCTGTCATGCAAGCAAATACGAAGTACTCGCACCCCAATCTGTCCAACGGTTTCCTCCTTCCTGTCGTGTTTCCAGAGTCAACAAATTGTTGCCTCTGCGGGGAGTGAAAGCATTTCCCCCCTCCCTGCCGTGTTTCCAGAGTCAACAAATTGTTGCCTCTGCGGGGAGTGAGAGCATTTCCCCCCTCCCTGCCGTGTTTCCAGAGTCAAGAAATTGTTGCCTCTGCGGGGAGTGAGAGCATTTCCCCCCTCCCTGCCGTGTTCCCAGAGTCAACCAGCGTCGACTGAAGACGATCTTTGCGCACTTGCAGGCAAGCGGGGGTCTGCCCGCAGGGAAGTGTGGTGGTGCTACTCGGTTCGAGCGTTTGC